GATATGAAGTTTTGGAGCACAGCACCGTGTATTTGCTTCTGTTCGCAGGCTGTCAGTTCCTGCGCCCCTACCGAACATGTAAAGGTCACGAACTGAACAAGGGAATGCAGAACCCAGCATAGCGTTTAATACTGAATACCAATCTGAACGCACTCTTTTGGCCTCGCGCCATTTGGCTCCCTGCAGCACTAAAGGGTTTGGGGGAGTGCTTGATGGCTGTTGCTGGAGTCGAAGGAGTGAAGCCCTTAGGCCCTAAGATTGCTTCACCATGCCTCACCGTAGGGACTTACCTACCTACACTCCACCTTGCTGCTCACTCAGTAGGAAGCTCCCACTCCTCGTTATCGATGGCCTGAAGAAAACTGGCCGTGGCAGAGCTTCTCACTGCAATGCTACATCTGCGGACTTCCTTAAAGTCGCAGGGGGTTCCCTAAAGTTACGAGATGTGGACGCAATTTGCGCGCCCCCCTGCGGCCTCCAGGCCTTCCAGGCGTCTCCAAGCTCCCGGGGCCGAGCCCGGGCCGCGCGACATGTGCCCTCACCTCCACCCCCCATGACGTCTATCTGCAGATCAGCCTGCAGCGCAGTGCGCAGCGCCGTCGTGGTCGCTGCGCGGCGACTCAGCGGCTGTCATGGCTGCTTGAGCTGCAACTGCGGGAAGCAAAGCTCTCAGCTGGCCAAATACAAACGGCAAGCAGGAATACGGAGGGCGTGCAAGATTCATTTACAGCTTCGCGAGCCGCCCCATCAGCTGCGCGAAGGTTTGGTCCTGATGTTGAAGGCACCTGCAAGCGACTGGTCACCGGTCAAGGGCCAGATGTAATGCCCAAGGCAATCAGCACTTCAGACAACTTTGCCGTTTGCAGCTTTCAGGTTGCATGAAAATAAACCCGCCTCATCGAGCGGCCACCTGTTCATGCTGTGGCTTTCCTGGATTTCCGGGAGCCTGCCACAGCATGCCACAGCAACTGCGTAGGACGAAGAGCTCCTTCCCTTGCATGTCGGCCTTGGAGAGCATCTTCTGTCAGGCTGCGCTTGTTGTCTGAGACCGCCTGCCACAAAACCGATAACCGGACTCGTCTCGCAGAAAACAGAGGCGATGAACAGTAGCACCTCACCTCGCCAGAAAGCTTGACCTTCTCCCGCTCGATGGCCTCCCTGTGAGTTGCAGGGTCTGTAACAGCCATGAACCCCTCCTTCCGAATCATTGTATTCCCACCTGATGGGCCCAAAGGTTTTTCGATGTTCGCTGCAAATTCCGTGCTGCCGAATCGCTTTCAAATGCGCTTCGGTGCCGTAGCCCTGAGTGGACAAGACCGCACAGAAGCCACGGCTGCAACTGTTGCAGACTGTTCCAGCCTTGTGCGCCTTGAAGCCGTAAAGCGGATGCAACGAATCCAGCCGGTCCATCTGGCGATCGCGGGAAACTTTGGCCAGAACCGAGGCGGCTGAGATCCTCGAAAGTTTACCAGCCCAGAAAGGGCTGCTTCACAATACCCTGCAGCGGGTCCAGCTACGAGATGCGGTCCGAGGCTCGATGGAACACGGCCATCCCCTTCGATGACAGCTTCCACCTCCTTCACAGGAGCTCAGGCTGCAGCATGCTTGGGATCAGGGCTGTGTGCATCGAAGTCCCGCCTTTGGTCGCCATGGCTCGGCTTCTTCCACCTTCGGCTTCTTGAACCACTTGGCGAGCTTGGTCTGGTTCTTGCGACTTTCCAGATCTCTTTGAGACTCCCGAGTCCATTTCTCACCCGGGCCCAGAAGCTCGGGGGGGCGATTGCAGCCGTCCACAAGCACCGTACCTCACGGCGTCGCATGGCGTCGAGAAGGGGTGGGGTGCGAGCCGTGGCTGGGATCCACACCTGGTCGAACTGTGAGGCCATGCACCGCTCGCGACATTGCTTGCAGCGACGCCTTCGAGCAGCCATACGACGGCAAGGAGACAGTTTGAAGATGAGGCCTTGGACCCTTGGACCTGAAGAATGTTGCCAGCGTCGATCTCCTTGACGGAGCATTCGGCAATACACCAGGCGGTGCGGCCCTGGAACTTCGCATCCGTCAGCTCCTGTGACAAACCCCTTCACTAACTGAGCTGCCTTGCTCGGCCCTTGTTGGCCTCGTAGAGGCTCTCCCGCTGTTGCTCGGTCAATTGCTTGGAATCGTTGACCCTGGACAGCAGATCAAGGACCTCGGGCTTCTGGGCACCCGGTTCTTGCAGCACATGTACCGTAGACTACTGCATGTTGGCACAATGGTAGCACCATTAATTTGCGGAGGTATCAACATGCACAACGCAGACAAGACAATGATGTGCCTCTTCATCTTCGGGCGCCAGCACGGAGAAAGCGGCTGCAACGACCTGAAAAGTACACACACACACACAACCACCACCACCACCACCACCACCACCACCACCACCAGCACCACCACCACCACCACCAGCAGCAACGCCACCAGCACCGAAACCAGCACTGCCACCAGCACCGCCACCAGCACCAGCTCGGTTCAATCAGCCCTCAACATCTGACGCCCACCCAAGAAGCAACGCATACATTTAGTATACATCATAATGAATCATTGTCGGAACCTTTGATCCCATAATGCGAAGCAGCCTTCTTTTGAGATCAAAACACCAGATTATGAGCCCTGAGTCAAGGAGGCTTGCCTGAGCTCCGTTGAACCGTGCTGCTGGGGTCCCCGGCGGGCCCAGCCAGCGGTCCGCGGCCTGCTTCGTCGACGCCCGCCACAGAAGTGCCCTTCCGCCACCAGCGCCGTTCCCAGGCATCCAGGCCCTGCGACGAGCCCAAATACATGAAGGATCCACAACCTCCTTGCCAACCGTTGAGCTGCGACGTCTCCATGTAAACAGGTAGACTCGGCACAGGATCCCGATCCCGCTGGCCTTTCCACTCTCATCGGCGGAGCTCCCGCCTCCACTGTCACAAAAGGTCAAACCGTGAACTGTGGTACAAGTTGACCGCAGCCGGGCGGCCGAGCCCCATGAGCCCGGACCCGGTTCAGCCTATCGGGCCAGAGCCATACAGCTGATCATAAGCAAATCACTCAAGCATAACAAGCTGCTGAGAGCAGCGAAGTTCTTTCGTAACTTGAGGTGGCCGATGCCGTTCACAGGCAAGTCTGCACCTGATGGTCAACGCATACCGTGCTGGTGCTCACAAACAAGACTCTGTCTAGATTACCGACATCTAACGACTCCGCTCTTTCGGACCAAGCTCTCCGATCCAGGCAGCTAACGCCCAAGCCGGAGGTGTTTCGATGTTGTCTCCATGCGATCGAAGGTACCGCTGAGCAGCTGAGTGAAGCCCGTTTTGTTCACTTCTCGTCGGGTGCGAGTCCATGGGACCAGTTCTGAGATCCGTGTTGGCTCGTCAGAACAAGTAAACGGCCGAAAGGCCACAGCATGATACAGCACAGATCTTTGCAGGTGCTGTTTGACTGTTTGCACATGGTTTGCGGGATGGAGGGATGCATGATCTGAGAGCCTTGGCCGAAGCTTGCGAAATCTGGACACCAGATTTCAGGACTAGGACTCCATCCCGACAACCCCTTCACTCTGGAAGGAAAGTACTGTAACTACATGTTACCGACTACGCGTCCGTGAACGTTGGCCACATGGCCGAGGCCTTCATGAAAGACCCTCAAAGCCAATGCCTCTGCGGTCAGAATTGTCCTGCCAGGCTCAGGCAGACTCTCCCAGGGCCATTCAACACGCCACTGACCCCACTCAACAGGAGTCAGAGAAGAGCACATCTCGGAGCTCCGAGCCTGTCGAGCCTGTTCCAAAGAGCGGGGCAAAGGAGGGGTCCACCGGGCTGCTGGCATCGCCGTGGCTGCTTGGCCTTGCCAGGAACACAATGCCTCACCAGAGCTCACACTAGCTCACGGATACTCTAAATCCCCAGTGAACCGTGATGAGATCTTCGACTCTTCGAACCCATTTACGGAATGTAAGCCTCAAAGCCTTCATGGGATGCGAAACAGCCAACCGTCACAGCTCCGCAGACATGTGGCATGCTGCCCATCCGGCGGAGTCCCGTCCTGGAAGCAAGGGCACAGCATGGCCTAGATTCAGATGGCTTGCCGGACCACAAGACTCTCTGTCGTTTAGTTTGTAGCAGCCGCAGGTTCGAAGATGCTCTAAAATCTAAAGTGTGCCTTTCCCGTGGCCTGCGCAAGCCGTGCGGCACGGAGGAGGCTCGTGCGAGGCTTCCAGGCTCGAGCACTGCGCTCATCGGGGTAAAGGCTGCCTGCGATACTGAAGGATGTGCTGAGAGACTGTATAGGCTGTGTTCAAGATTCTTCAAGACGACAGCTTCAGAGCTTGCATGCAACTCCGCCATCTCATACTCTTCAATACTCTTCATACGAGTCACATTCTCGCCTAGGGGGGGCACCAGATGGAGACAAGAGCCACAACGCAACTCCGCTGGCGGAAAGTCACTTCTTCCTTTGGTAACGAAGCCTCGAATCACACTGGCACGAGTTGGCACAAGGTTCTGCGTGAGTTTTAGCTTGTCATTTGTATGTACGTCAGCGCACCAAGAAATGCCCTGGTCGCGCGGCCTGCGGTGTGGTGCTTATCCGAGTTTCCAAGCGCTTGACCGAGTCGTTCAAACTGCTCAGGATCTGTGCAATGTTCGTGACCTTCAGAGGGAGGGGGGGTGGGGGCGAAGGACATGTAGGCTACATGCACCGTTTCCCCGAGCGCGGGCAGAAAGCCTCTTCGCCCCACTTCTCCACGCTTTGTGATACGGTGCTCAGTCTTGACTCCAGTTGGTCCAAGTGCTCCTTGTGGACCTCCTTGTTCATGAAAACCTCAGCGAGCAAAGCGGACCGAGGACCGACAGGGCTCTGCTGCTCGACTCTGCGGCTTCTACACAAGACCCAGACATTCGCATCGTAGTCCGCGCGATAGCAAACCCACAGGAAGTGGGAGCGGTCAGTCGGATGTCGCGGTTGCTCCTCCTGCCCCACTGAGACTGGGCCAAGGTGCGGGGCAGGTGATAGGCACTTCAAGTGCTGACTGGCGAGACTTCGAACAATTGCTTCGAGCGCAGATGCGCTACACAAACGCTCTTGGACCTGTCTTGCTGCCGAGTCCTCCTCCTCGTCATAATCCTCACAGCCCAGGTCTCCAAAGCCTGGAGACGTCAGCCCATAAGGGCCTCTAGCGCACATCGACTTTAGCACCTTATCTGCGCAGTTCATGCAACGAGCACTTCCAGTGCCATTAACTCACGACGCAAACCGCAGGAGCTGAGCCACTGTTAGGGCCAAGCCGAAGGCCAAGCCGGAAAAGGCGGCGTGCAAGAACCAGATGCAGAAGAGCAGGCAACCCAAGAGGGTTAGGCCGACCAAGGTCAGCCAGCCAACCATTCTGACATAGTCCTTTGTTGCAAAGAAGCAATTGCGCACAGTCAAAGCCTGCACATACCACTGTCGATCTAGTTGGAAGTCTTCCAACCCCAAGCAAATCCAGGTCGAATAATCTGCCGCGGGGATCCGCATCATCATCCTTCTGCGCAAGATCCCCATCATCCAACAAAAGCTCCCAGTTCATCCGGTAGCCGCAAAAGTTAAATGTCCTGTAACATTCAGTGCGAAATCTCAGGCGGGTGCAGCATGTTGCACTGCATTCGCCGCCAACCGAATGCAAGCCAGTGCAGGCGGAACGGGCCTTTGGCAGAGCCGGCTGCCGTGGATGATGGGCATCGCCTCGTCTTTGAGCCTGGCAAGTGCTGCTTGCCGCTTGCGCTCCAGCAGCCGTCAGCGCGAAGCCGATTCATTCATGACAAGAACAGGGAGCCACACAGAGCCAACTTGAAACAGATTTGGTAAGGCCATGCCACGCTTGCTATTCACAGCTAAACAGGCTGCTGCGAGAGCCACGGCACCTGTAAACACAGCCAAGTGGCTTCTTCACGGCCCACTCCAACCATGCGGCCATGCGCCGCCGCTCTGCGCACAAAGCGCATTTCGCTTCGAATTTCCACGGCCAGCGCGGGCAAAGAAGGACCTGAGCCCGACCGCTCTAGATCTGCCGGGATTTACGAGGACTCTCTCCTGCCTGTTCGCTGCAACATCACACGGCAGAGCACTGCAGCCGCAAGTCTCCAGAGATTCTCACAGCCTTCAAAGGCCCTCGCCTCCGCGCAGAGGCGCGCCCTCCAGCGCCAGAAGTGAAGCCAGGATTCCTTGGATCAAGGGTGTTTTGCCAAAAAAAGCCGAAGCTTGTGACAAAGCCTTGTTGGGACTGTCGCAGTGCGCTGTCGAAGCCCAAAGTTGGCGGAAGTAAATGTCGCTGGCAGTTGTCTAGAGAAAGCAATTGACCTTTTTCCCTGTGTCTCTTGCTGTCTTCCGTCACTCGTTCCCTCCAAAGAGGAGCTGCCTGGCGACACTATGCTTGCTAAGCGAACGAAAGCCCGTCAAACATCCTTTGATACCAGGACTCCTTAATTGCCGCCTCGTACTCCATGGTGAACACCTGCAGATCTCAAGGCTTGGGTTCTCCCACTTGCAATCGACCGCTTTGGCTAGGGTTTCATGTAGATCTCATATGAGCTCATTCCATGGAACGGGTGTCGAAAATGTCCATAAAGAACCCCAATCTTGGCATGCTTGAGACATGCGGTACTTGGGCTTTCGACCGGGTCAATGCATACATAGTCCACCAAGAAGGCTATATGGCACAATTTGGGGAATCGAAGGCTAGTTTGGTGCTTGGAAGGCCAACTAGTTTGCCGAACAGCCTCGCAAGGGCTTATTTCGATCAGAGATGTCTTTGGCACTCTAGAAAGTGAGGAGGCACTCGGTATAGAAGCGACTGGGTGTGCGAGCAGGCAGCTGCAATGGAGACATTGAGAAGGCATATGGTCACAATGAACCTCAGCACTGCAAGGTGCAGACTAGCCTAAGACAATGATAAATTGCACACCATCGATTGCAGTATGACAGGCACTCTCTGACTTTGCTTCCCGCCTGCAGACCGTAACCTCTGGCAGGTCTTGCTAGTGACAGTGTGAGCTCTATCAGCTTTGCAGCACCACTGAGCCAGCACAGCCCCGAGCCCGTGCTCTGTTCTGAGACTGCCGGCGTGGAGAACAAGGTGAGGTAGGTGTCGAGGTTGTTCGGCTGCAGCTCTCCATCATGAAGTTCGCCCTGCAATCAGGTGGGAGGTATGATGCGAAACCACAAATTGGCAAGTCTCCACTGCTTTGTGTACGGAGTTGCGGGATGTGCTCGTGCGCTTCGCCTCCATGACATCCAGTCCCTCGCCATCGGCTAAGAAGAGGCCGCGATAAACCTTCTCGATGAGAGCCCGGAGTGGAAGCTTGGAGCCTGAAGCGCCATCAAGCTCGTCGAGCATGCTTTTTGCAGGAAACCCACTCAAGACGTCACAATGAGTGCCGAGAAGCCCATGACGATGTACGCAGATGTGAAACTTGCGAAGACCAAGATCAAGACCGTGAAAATCACTCCCAACCTGAGGGAATTTGGCACGAGGAGGTCTGCAGTCGAAAAAAGGAGGTCAAGAGTCAAGACAGCTGGAGCTTGAAGCCAGGGGGATCCAACTTCGCCTCCGGATAACCCTGTGTTGCGTGGCTGAGCGGCCTGAGGAAAGAATGGAGGATGGCGAGAAGATGTCGACCAAATTCCAGTCGAGGGGACGCACCTTCAAAGGAATGGGAGTGAAGATACAGTAAGGTATGGCTACAGCAGGATATAGCACAACGCTTCGCACCCCATCTCCAACTACTGCAGCCACTTGGCTCTCTGCTACGCCTATTACCAACTAGGACAATTAAGGATCGCCAGTCGCCAAGAACGTCCTACGTCCACCGTGGCGCCTTTGGCCAGAAAGATGAACAAGAAGCATTGCAAGAGCAAGTTCGCTCCAAGCAAGCTGCGCTCAAAGGTCCGCTTGTTGCCCTGAAACGGGTCATGTGGTCCACGTGGCGGCAACTCTGCACACAATCAGGGCCACGCAGGCCCAGGAACGTGCAAAAAGAGAAGATTTTACCGAGAAACTCAGAGAAGACATTCATACACTACACTCCACTTTGCAGACGTGCATCCGTCAAATCTTCGTCATTCCTCCAGGTGTGATCCAGGTCATACCCAAAGAATGTCCTGCCACGAACCCTCAGCATCCAGAGTGCCCAGAGTTCTACAGCTCAACCCGGCTCCTCCAAAGCAGCCACCACAAGAGGTAAAGCTGGATAATCCGAAACCCAGCCATGGGATGTAGGAAGAACTGCTTCAGTGTCCAGCCATAGCAGAAATGACCTTAAACACCGAGGGAATGCATTAGTCGATGCTCTCATGTTGGACAAGCCAACGCTTGGCACCCGAATCCCCATCGAAGGGCCTTATCAACTGTACACCACACCCATGAGCCGGAATATCTCTGCAAAGCTTTGGGAATCTGCCTTGCGACCGTGCACCTCTCATCCACCAAGCTATGGTAATGGTCTCATTCACCAGTATGGCAAATATCACCTCGATCACATGTTTCGACTCGGCACATGCGAGTGCGGCAGGTATTTGTGGGTGTGCCCTGTATGTCACACCATTCAATTCTGTGCTGGCTACTACACTTCTGTCTAGCACTTTGTGTGGCTTCTCGTCGCTCGCTTCAAACTCATGTTGCAGGAAGAGCTGGCAACACAGCAGAGTTTACCGTCCAAGCTGCTGTCCATGCTGTTTTCCGTGGCTCCCAGAGCCAGAATCCAAACGACCAAGACCTCAAGACTTTCTCGGGGCAGCCGCACCCTTGTTTCCAGTCGGATCCGCAAACCAAGCCCTGCACTCTGGGGCAAGACCTCCCCTGAGCTGCCGGCAGAAATGCACAGAACAGGACAAGCTCCTCAGCCAGATTACTTACCAAAAGGCTCACCGCTGCACGAACCCCACGCGGCACGGGTCCTGAAGAAGTGCCGAGGTGATAGGCCGGAAGCAGAACTGCTCATAGCCACAACTCAGAATGGCCTGGACCACCTCCCATCGTGAATTACAGGGCTGGGGGATTAAGAACCTCGCACAAGCTGTCCCTAGTTGGCCTTCTCTGCAAAGATCTCACTCCAGCTGACACTGGTGAGAGCCATCATGATGCGCACCTGAGTAGAGCGCATACAGTCACAAGATTCATGAACCTACTGACCAAATCGATGAGGCTAGTCAAGCAAATATAAAAAGACCTGAACACCTCACACGTTCGAAGGACACTGGAAATTTAACTTCCAAGACGGTCGGACAGAAGTAGTCATGCGAAAGGACCGAAGTCCCAAATTAGGCAACCCAGGGGGCATCCAGGACATTGGACAGCAGCAACACCTTGACAGTTCAAGAGTAGAGCATGGTGGCCCGGCTGTTGGAGAACGGAAAAGCTTCATTGTTCAAGCGACGGGCGAAAACACTGCATCTCCCAAACCATCCCAAACTCATTGCTGCCGAATGAAAACTCTGGCAATCAACCCCGTGCAGCTACTGTCCCGGCCGGTCTACCTTGATGCAAACGTCGCGATCTCCTCGGACGTGAAGTGGCTTGCTTAGCAGCTCGACATCCCCATGGTATCACTCGTCGTCATCGTCGCAACAGCTCCACAAGCGCAAGATGCAGGAAGGCAACGGGCTAGAAGTCCTAATCGAAGATGTTGATAGTGCGCGCGTTAGAACACGAAGAAAATGTCATGATAGAGTCAGGAAGTGTTCAGTGTTCTCAACGATAGTGTCCAAACATATGAAGATCACAATGCTGTAATGGTCTCTACAGCAGGAAGCCATTGCCTCAAAATCAAAAAACCACCATCATACAACAGGACCTCAGGAAAAGCTTTCTGGAATTTTCGCCGCAGAACATCCGAAAACCGTAAAACCACATATGCAAGCGTGCCACAGCAGATACAACAGTACATTGAGGCCATACGAAGCATGCGATGAACTATAAATGAGTATTGAGTATACATAGACGATGGCGCTTCTGTAGAACCAATTGCCAAATTACTGCCAGCTGGGGCAGAAGGTCTGGATCAAATTAGCTGCTGGTTGACAGGCTGATGCCAAGCATCCTTCCTGGTGCTTCCCTTTGAATGCCGTCGGCGCCTGCATCTGATCCACGACCTGCACAGCTCAGACTTGTGCCAATTGCAAGCCTGGTGACGACACGGCTGGACACTCGGCGCCTTCTTAAGGCCCATTGGGTCCATGAGGCTCGCCCTGTCCAAGGGCACTCGTAAAGCACCAGTGCGAGCAATGTAACAACACAAAAAACTCAGAGTGGTGTCGGCAAGGTCTTGATGTCTGCTGCCGCACCGGGGTCGCTAACCAATGCCGGGCCATTGGATGGCAACTTCTGGGAGAATATTCTCTGGCAAGATTTGGCCAGAACAAGAACAGACCAGGAAACTCACGCAAAAACCTGCTGTCGAACATGCTGTTTGCAGGAAGTCCACCAGCTGTCCGCCAAAGCTTCGTAATTGCTTTCTACCACATCCAACTCATGCTGCCCGGCACAAACAACGTCGTGATGCTCTCTCTGCCCTTGCACTGCAGTCTTGTACTTCGTCGCTTGTTCTCAGGGCGGCTTCCAAGCATACATTCTGGCTTTGCCACTTTGGCTGTGCCTGATCAAACTGCGAGAATGCTAAGCACGCTGCTAAAACTCAACCAGTGTTTCCAAGCTGAAGGTAGCTAGGCCGCTCAGCAGTTGTCATGAAACCGGGAGAGATAGTTGAAGATTATTGTAGTGACCGATATGGCAGCTACCGCTCAAAGTCATTCAAAGTGCCTGCCTCCTTCAATGGGATCTTTCTCTAATGGCCCTCGAAGCCCCCTTGGCCTGTTGCAAGACGCCTTCGGGGCTAAAGTTCCGTGCCAGCACTGTGCTGTCCGGAGCCAGCAAGGCCAAGCCTTCAGGGCCGGGCCCCGGTATCGTGTGAAATCACCCTTTTTCCCGAACTCACAGCCTTGTGTCTGGCAAAGGCACTGGAGTAGTATTGGTCTGCAGTTTGCCTGGGCACGGCCGTGTGCTTCAGTGGCCATGAGGTCTACGCAGGAAAGTTCCAGGTATTGTTGAACCAGCACGTCTTCCTGATCCGTAGCGATCGTTGCAAAGCAATTGAAGGATGACGGGTCTAAATCACATATAAGCTGAGGTGCCTGTCCTCATTTGTGTCAGGCTGGTATGAGGTTTGGACCGACAAGTTCGGCAGATCGAAAACAGTGGCCGACCATCCAATTCCTGCTGCTCCAGCACTGGCACAACGCGCCAATCGAAATATTCTTTCCGAGTACCGACATGCAGCAGAAGTTCTGGCAGCAGAAGTGTTGCACAAGCTGCGTCCCAGCCCCTGCAAGTGTCCTTGTGCTCGATGCTTGTAGTTCATGTTTGCCCGGTGAGGCAAGGGATGTACATGCGGGTCTTCCGTGTCCTCGAGAAGCAAACGGTCCGTGTCTGAAACGGCCTTGTACAGCCATGTGGCCTTGAGTACGGAGACAGTCCAGTCCCTGACCTTCGCCCGCTCTTGCCCACGGCCTTGTCCCCCCTTCGCCTTTTCACCCCACCTCTACCCCCTCAGCTGTTGCATGCGACTGCTGCACTACAGTATCACTGCTGGCATGCTGGTGCTCCTTCGGATGCTTTCGGCTCTTCTTGCGCAACTCCGCTTCTGCACTCTTACTGGACGAAATGCCTGGCCACAAACCTGTCATCATCATCCAATCAGGGTACTGGTTCCGTCAGGAGCAACTCGTCCAGGACTGAGATAGCTATCGACGGCGCAATCTCCAGCAGCTCTGCAATGCTGTCCTGAAGTGCGGCGCGAGGGAGCTCCACCCACAAATACTGGAGTATCCCCTGCGGAACCCAGCGATCTACATCATACGATCCATGCTTGGTGGTCCGATGTCCCCCTGCTCTTTGAAAGCTAAGTGTCCACTGGTTCGAGGCCCTCAGCAGACCGGGCACCTGTGACGGCACGCAGCCGCAACGTCGAAAGGGCGCGTGCAGCTGTGCCACCGGAATCCTGGTCAGACACAGAGGGATGAAGGGATGACAGGGACAACGAGCGAAGGGTGGAGTTGCCACGGTGTCGCCGCGAACAGAAACCAACGAAAACCTCGCCCCAAGCCTTGTTGGACTCGTCCAGGACACGCTTTACGAGCTCACTGGCGCCACTGACACTGAAAGCAGCCATGCTGGTCACATCCTCCAGGCAGGAGCAGCGAAAACGCTGAGCTTCGGCCAAAGAGATGGCAAGCCTTCACCCGACACTGCCTGGAGGAGAAAGCTTGCGCCGCGAAGCGAGGGAGCCAGCAGCGCCATGACCTGCACTGTCGAACCTCTTCCTACAGCATCTGGGCGCAGGCTCCGGGCCTCGCTCCTCTGTTTCTGAGAGTAGACCTGCCGAACGGGTCCACGAAAGGCCATCCATGACGATACTTTCCGCAGGATACACACGTAACCACAGCCAGCTTGCCGGGGGCGGCACAATTGATTTTACATGTTCTGCAGATTCTTACATAGCCTGGCCACTGATGTAAAATTCTTCTGTACACGACTATCAAAGCACTCGCTAACCGTACGCTGTCCTTCATGACTCTTACACTTTGCTTCCTCACGCGACTGCGCTCTGTCTACACTGCTGGTGCATCGGGAGGTGTGCCAACGCGCACTTTACTGAACTGCCCCCACAGCACCATACAGCACTTGTTCTGTAAGCCGTTTCAGCAGGACACCCACTCGCGTTAGCACAAGTTCTGTCGTATACGCCAGGCAGTAGTTGCGCCAGCCTGGTCTGCGTAGTCGCAAATCCTCGGTGACAAGTAGTCACCATGTCCACGGCAGAGAAGAGCTCGTCACACGCAAATGGCGAACTCTTATTCCAAGGATCTGCAGTGGTGTCAAGCCACGGTCCCACCCCCGGTTGCCGTGGGCACGGGTGGCCCGGACCCATTCGCTCGTCTTGAGCGTAACGTCCTCGGAGCGGAGGCTTGGAATCGCTGACAGAAACTGACAGACGAGCATGTTCTAATTTCTAGGGCAACAACTTGGCAACAACACCGAGGCTTCGGCTGCGCTGTGTTCCACCAGTAGACATATCAGCTCCGTGTCGCAGTTCTTGCCGACGGCCAAGTGAAGACAGGTGAGGCCTCCGCTACCGCCGCATCCATCCGGATTGGCGCGGTGCTCCAGTAGGTGCTGGATGACCGCTGCAGATTCCTGACCACTCCGGCACCAGACGCAGGCGCTGACAGACTGGCACTTAAGCTCTTCAGAGTTCGAGCTGCCGCCTTCGCACCTCTGATCGAAGGGTGGGGCGCAGAGGGGTTGCGCGTGGCGTGGTGGTAGTCGATGGTGGATACAAGTGCATCGGAGAGGGGCGTCCAGCATGGGATCCCGTCGAAGACCGCCGCTGACTCCTTGCAGCCGGGGCTGTGTTGACTTGGCGGGCGAACCATGGAGCTGACTCCAGCACTGTGCATCTGAGCTGATTCCGGCATGCTGCGATAGATGCGCCCAGGCTGAGCAGGGCTTTGACCTGCCACCCAACCCCACAAAATTAGCGACATGTGGGGCGATCTCGCTCCATTAAGCAACGATGCGAAGTAAGCCCTCGCACCCGTGCAGGGCATTCTGAGAGCCCTGCCGCTGGCAAGCAATGGCCTCAGCGCGATTGAGAATCGGTCGGCAGTACCAAGATAAGTGATGCGATTCGATGCGAAGCAAGTGGCCCACCGCAGCGATATGCATGCCGGTTACACAGCAGAACTCCTTGGCACCATTCCCTTCGGGGTTGAAAGGTCTAACCTTTGGGCCAGCACTGTGCATGAAACAGAGAAGCCAACCTGCTAATAACTTGATCTTGGGTATGCCTGCTTTGATAATTCACTTTTTCGAAAATTTCCGTCCCGGTCTCGTTCGCATTGGTCCGCCGCTCCACATCTGCTTTGGCATGGATGTCGGCACGACTTGCAACGATGTACCTCGGCCAGGACATTGCCACACCTAGAAGATGATGGCTCTTGCTCCCGCGCTAGCTTTTGCTCTTGCTTCTGCTGCGTCTCTTGCACCTCCTGCTCTTGCTGTTGCTCCCGCTGTTGCTCCTGCTCTTGCTCTTACTCCTGCTTTTGCTTTTGCTTTGCTCTTGCTGCTGCTCTTGCTGATGCTCCCGCTTCTGCTCTTGCTCCTGCTCTAACTCCTGCTCTTGCTTTTGCTCTTGCTCTTACTATGCTCCAAAGGTATTCGGAGCTTCGAAACCCTCCACCCTAATTCAGAATAGATTTTAAAGGGCCGACTGATTTCGGGAGGATTCAGTATTAGGGGGGTGTGTAATAAAAGGGGGAAGGGATTATCAGAATCGTTAGCATCACGATGGTCACCATCATCAACAATGGTTCCTTCGTCGCTCGCTAGATTGAAATCAGCGGTTGTCTCGCGACAGTTGGCAACAGAATGGGACTGCAGATCTTTCACCAATTATCAACTACTTGATTAACTGGTCGTTTCGTAAATCAAACACGCCAATCAACAAAAAAACAGAATAGAGTGCTACCGACGCCACCAACGCCGCCCCACCACCACCACCACCGCCACCGCCACCACCGCCACTGCCACCACCGCCATCAGTACAGACTACCACTACAGCCACTACCACCACAATCACAACCACAACGACAACCACCACAACCAGCAACAATCACAGACAACAAACAACAACGATAGACAACGAACAACAACCAGCGACACCAACGACACAAACAACACTGACAACATCAACAAGTCAACAACAATTGATTCAACGCTGAGAGTGCGGGCTGTGCCCCTTGCCAACCACAGACTGATCAAGACATGGAGAACCATGTACTGAGTGAGAAAACGACATTGTGCTGAGCAAGAAAAGCGTGACATCTTTGACAAGCTACCAGAGAGACAGCCAATGCGACCTCCAGGCAACTACGCGCCAGCACCACCACCACTACCACGCTCCGACAGCAGCGACGACGACAACAACAACAACTACTACTACTACTACTACTACTACTACTACGGGATCTGCACTTATTTGATGCCACGTTTCCGCTCTATTTTTTACTTGCACTTTGTTTGAGGGCCACGATCTGTTGGTATTTACAGTATTTCCTTATTTCTACGGATTTAGCTCTTTAAACACATACCATGCGGACCCGGGCGCCTTAACGACCCGAAATACAGTCATAACAACATCGCCACGCATATTTTCGTTCGTTTCCACAAGACGAATACACATGCCACGCATCCTGGCACGAAGCCGCTGATCTACTGGTATTTACAGTATTTGCCTGCTTTCGCTATGTACTCGTATGGCAAGCATGATGCTGTTTACGATGACCGGCAGCACATGTTCTTCTGTAAAAATCAGGCCTCTTCTTGAAGCAGTTTTGGCTTAGTTTTTCTAGTGTTGTGTGAGGACCTATCTTGTTCAAGTCGCAAGAGGAAATACCTTTACCTTTCCACTAACCTCTTCTTCTACCGTTATTTACGAGCTTGTCCTGCTATCGTGGCTAACGATGTTCGTGAGGATATGCTTGTTGATGATGAATGGCCGCAGTTGCTCTCTGTTTTTGTTAGGGTGTGTTTTGGGGGGCCCAGCTTCTTGAACCTAACATGATTATTTTGCTATGTATGGCATGTTTCATGTAGGTTAAAAGGGCTTGTGGGCAATATTTAACATGATTATTTTACTTTCAATGGCAGTGCCTTGCCTGTCCTTCGACTGCCTTGCCTATTCCCATGAGGGCCTTGCTATTCCCATGACGGCCTTGCGTTTCCATGAGGGCCTTGGAAGAAATTTTCAGTACTTATTTTTAACTTGGCTTGGCTTGGCTTGTGGGGGTGGCTTGGGGCTGGTGGGGGGGGGAGGGTTGCCATAGGGTTGAATCTGTCACGTAGGTGAGAAAAGCCTGTAGGCAATACTTAACAGTTTAACATGATTATTTTTCTTTGTATGGCACGGTTCATGTAGGTGAGAAGGGCTTGTAGGCAATACTTAACATGATTATTTTGCTTTGCATGGCATGTTTCATGTAGGTGAAAAGGGCTTGTAGGCAATATTTAACATGATTATTTTGCTTTCAATGGCAATGCCTTGCCTGTCCTTCGACTGCCTTGCCTATTCCCATGAGGGCCTTGCTATTCCCATGACGGCCTTGCGTTTCCATGAGGGCCTTGGAAGAAATTTTCAGCACTTATTTTTGGCTTGGCTTGGCTTAGCTTGGGGCTGGTGGGGGGGGAGGGTTGCGATAGGGTCGAATCTGTCACGTAGGTGAGAAAGGCTTGTAGGCAATACTTGATGACTTAATGTGAAAAGCAGAGGAATCCACGTAACTCTCGGTCACAAAGCAGTGGTGCTAACGATCGGACACCAAGCAAGCAAGGCAAGCGAGGCAGAGATCAGACCAGAGTTGTATCCCGTAAGTATGATCACACAGGCAAGAGGCAACACGAGCACTACCCCAAGTGCAAGCGTCTCCCGGACTACACCAGAAGGTGAGTATTGAGTAATCATATGCTGCGGGTGAAACAAAGTTGGCATGATCCTATCAAGATATCAGAGCGTACGTTTACACGAACCTTGTCAAATCACACTTAACATGAATATTTTAAACAGCGTTTCTGGGCGCTCGGGTCCGCACAACGCTGCAATACTGATATGCCGTGCCTGCCGTGTTCTTCTACGTCTGAATGGACACACAGCACAGTGTCAAATAGGAGCAGAGCGCGTACTACTACTATTACTACTACTACTACTACTACTACTACTACAACTACTACTACTACTACTACTACCACTACTACTACTTCTACTGCTACTACTACTGCTACTACTGCTGATTCTTCTGCTGCTGCTACTGCTACTGCTACTGCTACTGCTACTGCTACTGCTACTGCTACTGCTACTACTACTACTACTACTACTGCTACTACTACTACTACTACTAGTACTGCTACTGCCACTACCACTACCACTACCACTACCACTACTACTACTACTACTACTACTACTACTACTACTACTACTACTACTACTACTACTAACTACTACAACTACTACTACAACTACGACAACTACTACAACTACTACAACTACAACTACAACTACTACAACTACTACCACTACTGCTGCTACTGCTGCCACTGCTACTGCTACTGCTACGGCTACGGCTACTGAGGCTGCTAGTAACTACTACAACCACTACTACTACTACTACCACCAGTACCACTACCACTACCACTACCACCACTGCCACTACCACTACTGCCACTACTACTACTACTACTACTACTACTACTACTACTACTACTAGCACTACTACTAGTACTACTACTAGTACTACTACTAGTACTACTACTACTACTACTACTACTACTACTACTACGACTACTACTGCAACTACTACTGCTAC